CACAATTTAGTATTGTAAGCACTAGGCAGAATGAGAGAAGGCAAGGCCAGGGTTTGTATTGTCAAGTTGAATCACAAGTGGGTTCCTCTCTCTGTTCAGCACGTTCTCCTTTTGTGCCACCTCAAGGTACGAGGACTCTCCGACGGGCGCAATGCTATGTCGTTTTTAATTGATTGTTTCCTCCACGCAAGTGCAGGACGACAACAATACGATTTCGCGTGTGCCATGAGCTCCGTCTGAGTGGTGCTCGAGGGGCAGACAGTCTGTGAACTCGAGGGAATGAGAAGAGACGATTTGCATGCATGGCACAGTTTGGAGGACGAGGAGGAGAAACCCACGTGGGCTGCAAGCCCCAAGATACTCTCATCATGGGAGGTGCAATCACTGGTAAATTGTTTTTTCCAGTTTCCAGTGTACTTTCGGCAGCTTCCATCCAGATTCTGTGACTGGAGAAGTTATTCAGCCGCTGAAAGTGCAGAAATGTTGCGGGAGCAAAAACGAACAAATTCTTCAAACAACTGGAAAAATGAAGTAATCAAGCAAACGAAGTAATTTAAAACTGCACGGTCATTGAACCTTTTCAACAAGCTACTGTAATCTCCACCATTGAAATGAAAACCTATGAACTATAAATAAAAAACTATCAATGGCCTTACTATACCCACATTGTAATCCTTTCTAGGTGAAGTCAGATTGACCTTTACATTTCCGAGAGCTTGTAGTGGTTTCTCTACGGGTATTTTCCCTGGCCAAAAGACTTCGTCTCGGCAGAATAGAAAGAAGGATCAATGGCAGCTGTTTTAGCAAACCCAGCCAAGCTTTTTTTTGCTAGCTTTTCAATACGGGTTTTGTGTCGCATTTTCACAAAGAACGTAAGGCAGAGTGGTATGAGTCTTTGACTTATACAGAACGTCATCAGGTAACCAAAGGGTTTTATTTTGATGAATTCTTGAGCAGTTTGTCCAATACATTCCACATTGTTTTGGCAGTACATAAGCTGTTTGTGAGTGTTGGTTATTGTTCTTGTAGTAAACTGTGACAACCAGTTAACTTCTGCATTACCTGCGTCAGCTGAAAAACGCCCTATCATGTGAGTGAAGCTGGAGTCAAGTGTCCTGTTACAAGGTCCTTGGAGAACTCCGAGCACAACTGTGAACGACGGGAAGACTGTTACGGCAAAAGAATAGAGATTCCTGCAACTAGCTCGCGGCCATAGAAAGACTGATCCCAAAGCTCACAAATTCAAGGAGCGCTTTCGCGTCTGCTTGAGCACCATATCGCTAGCCACTTGAAAGTTGCTATTCCAAGCAGTTTCTCCATTTGCACTAGATTTCTCAAATGTCTGTACCTTCAGCTGTGTGATTTTCAGGACTCCGAAGCTCCTCCCGTCCAGTCCCAAAAAAGCTGTAGACACCGAGGTGTACTACAGGCTGCAACTAGGGTCAACCTGAAACATGACTATGAGCTATAAAATAATGATCGATCCGTCGATCTCTTGAACCTCAGTGGCAGATTGACAGCGAGATGAGGAAACCAAGAAGGAGGATGCCAGTAGCGGGCTTAAACGAAACATCTTGTTCATTACTTCCACTAAACACATGAAGTCACTGCTTGCACAGAAGAGTGAATTACAACGAAGGCCAGGAGAATGGAAAAAATATCGCATTTTTTTATATATTTTTATCCGGTGCCTGATGATGGACGAGTGAGTAGATAGGGAGTACCTCCAGTGTCAAAGGTAAGGAGGAATAAGGAGAACTAGAAGTCCTGAAATGCCCTACGTTTTCATGTGAGACACTGTTGGCGCTGCTGCTGTACATCCACTTGAATATGTTGGGGCGCGACAGAGTTCCTGCATCCTCTGAATGACATCTGGACTCCTGTCTGTTCGTCATGCCTGGCGTAGTCAATTCACCCAGAGCTTTGGAGTGTGCAGCTCGTGGACGAACATTCAGGCTACTGTCTCGGTTTCACTGTGCACGTGTACGCTCAAACTCGACCTCGAATTAAACTCAAACCTCGGGTGCATTAATTGGCAGTGCTAGGACCTTCGACTTCAGTCGTCCAGTCACTACCACCACCACCATCACGCAGTCGGACCCACGACTGGAACCACCAAGTATGAAGCTACTGACTGTATGGGAATTTCGAACTTGGACATTATTCTACAGAGGCTGTGTCTGTCTCTATATACGAGTCTTATTTAAGCGATTGAAACTGCGAGTTGGAGAAGCACGGCCCTTGCTTGCAGCATAGCATTGCCTGAGAAAGATAAACCATCCGATCCAATTCCGTGACCTTTTGTGGTCTGATGGAAAAGGACGGCATTCGGAAACGCTGCAGCAGCTGACACGTAAGGGGTCAGCATGATTCTTTCACGACTGACTGCCTAATGGTTTCTCGGGTAGTGGGGCATGAACTTCGACTCGTCGCAACACTCGCACGCTCGTCGCCCTTCTCCTTCGCGTTTCCTCGAGAGCGCTGCGAGAAGAATCAGTGTATTAATAGATCATACATATATGTTCGTAAACTGGCACCTTCTTCTTCGGATCGCCCGTCGATTGGTATCAACTTTAAAAAAATGGGCACTGGAAGTACGAGGTCTGTCACCCGATCACTGGTTCATCTCTGCGTCCATGGTGAGGATAACGTAACTTCATCCTCCATCGCCAACCCTCTTGGGTCTGGTATCTTTGTTTCGTGTGTACTACTCGGCGTCCGATACGGTGCCCCAAGAAAGAAATTCCCCCGGATATGTGTTTTGTATGGGTCTTTTCCATGTTCAGTAGCAATGTGAGTTTCTCTCTTAGGAAGGTTTCGCATTCCTGACTGAAGGCTTTAGCATCAGACCGGGGGCCACGTATAGGTATGAGGAAGTCATCTCCGAGCTTCTGACAGCAATTCCTTGGTCTACAGACAGACTTACCGGCTGGTCCCGACCTTTACTGGATTTTAACTTCCCCAAGTACCGTCTTGTGATTCATGAGACATTTTTAAGTTCGCGAGACGACGCCATGTCCGGTCCACAGGTCAAGCCTCAAATCACTTTCACTCTGCCGGTGGCAGCCGGCCAGCAAGCCTGCGCTACTTTTCTTCCTGCTGTCAATGCTCTGGGCTTTGGTTCCTTGAACTGAAACCCTCTGTGAAAGAAGTGCTACATGTCTCCGATACTGTCCTGAGTGTGAGAAACTATGGACCAATGGGTGGGCTCTGGCAGGGGAATGTAGACGAGGAAGCTGAGAGGAACGAGGAGGTGGGAGAGCTGCTATGATCGACCTTGAGGAACGAACAGAACCAGACAGTCAATCAATCAAGAGAAAGAGAGAGGGAGCCACAAATTTTTGAGAAAGCCTTCAAATCTTCGTGGCTAGCGCTGACTTCTTCTTGATAGAGACAGTCGCACAAATTGCGACCTGTCTGTCTCGGTTACATTCGTATGAAACACGGCGGATGAATATGTGGTAAATTTTTCCGGCGGCTCTTCCCAAACGATCCAAAACGCAGAACCCAAGTCTGCCGCTTACGCTCCGTGCCTGCCTGGAATTTCATCTCTCGCTATCTCTAAACCACATTTCATCTCTCCACTTCCGAGCTCAAATCATGTCAGCTTCGTCAAATCTCCTCGTCAGTTCCCGTCTCCGGAGCCTCGAAGACCTAAGAACACCACTGCTTCCCCAAGAAAGAAAAAAAGGTGCTTGCCTGCTTGCCTTGCAGCCAGCCAGCCAGCAACCTCGTCACCTACGTGACAATCTATCAATCTAGATACGGGTTTCTTCGTCGAATAATACGGATCAATACTCAACAAAATCCTCGCAATCTCAGAGCTCCGAACGGTGTTCGAATTCGAAGCCGAGTGCTCCCCACCATCATCGTGTCCTCCCCGTCAGAAAAGGAACTCTTCTTCGTGCAATGCCTGCTAATCTATCTATCTACCTATAAACCACGTGGTCGACGCCCAACTACTCGACGAAATTGTGTCGTCTGTGTGCTAAGGAAGTTCTGGAACTGGAGCGCGACCGCAGGTCTCTTCGCCGAATCTTAGAGAATTGAATGAGTGATCGGGTTGGGTGAGGTGAAGGGAGGGGCTTGTGCGTCTGTCTATCTAACTAGCGCGAATCAAACCGTATACAAAGATACGTATTTCTTCTGAAGGTGCAAGGTACAGCAGCCTCGGGGCTCTCGTCATGGGCACTCTGTCTCTCCGCGTCTCTGTCGAGGAATTGGTCCGAATTCGCCTCGGAGCAGAAGAGTGCCTCCATCATCTCGCGTCATGAAGGTCTGCTCGTGTTCTCAACCGTTGAGCCTACCGCTGTACTTGCACGTCATCAGTCGAATCGATCATCTTCTACCTGACTGGAATTCGAAATTCGAAATGTGAAAAGAAGGAGCGGCCCGCGGCCGCTGCCTGGACGGACCGACAAACCGTAACGAATTTGAATGGGTGAGCGAATGAAAGAATGAACGGGACGGGACGCTGGATCCCGCCCGACATTCGCTCGCTCGAGATCACATCACAGACTGTGACTGACCGACAGACCTCAGACCGACCGACTCACCGACCGACAGCCAGCCAGTCAGCCAGCCAAAAGGATGATCGTGGGATGCGGAAGAATTGAAGCCACAGTTGAAGAAGTGGAAGATCTCGACGGAACTTCATCTAATTGAAAGTCTCGTGATAAGGAACGGTTGCATCTTCATCTTAAAGGTCTTCAAAATTTCGATGGTTGTGATTCAGAAAATTTCACCCGCGTGCACGCCGTCCGCCCGCCCGTCCGCCCGCCCGCCATCGTCGGCGTCGGTCGGTCGTCGTCATCAGTCTGATACGGTACAGTACAGTAGTGAGATTGGTGCAATTCTTCATTTTCTTCCTGCTGGTTCACCGTCATCTTCGTCATCGTCGTCGGTCCGCCCTCGTGGCCGCCGCAATGGTGTTCGGTTGGTGAGTGGTGAGTGGTGAATGGTGGTGGTACATTAGAGTCGAGAATTTCGACCGCGCGCGATCAAACGTCGTAGAACTCGAGGAGGTCCTCGAGCTCCGTGGTGCGCGCGGCGGGGTCGTCGCTGCCGATGAGCCAGAGCAGGTGCTCGAAGAGCACGGCCTCGCAGGCGATGTGCAGGCCGCCGCGGTACTCGAACCCGAACTCCTCCTCGGTGCGCTTCAGCAGCGCTTTGAAGAGGTGGTGGTTCAGGTAGTGCGTGCTGATGACGAAGCGCTTGCGCTCGCGCCCCACGTACACGGCCATGCAGCCCTGCGGGATGTCGCGCGGCACGGCGCCGCCCGTTGCCAGCTTGCGCTGGCGCTGCCTCGCGCGCCTGCGCACCGAGTTGTCGCCGCCGCCGTCCGACGAGCAGCTGCCCGGCGTGCGCGGGCTCAACGGGCTCGTGGGCGCCTCCGGACAGGCATCGCCTCCTCGCCTCGACGAGAAGTTGTGCACGATTCTCAACTTGCTGAAGAACACCTTGCGCGGCATCCTGTCCGTCCTGCCCACTGCCCAATCGTGCGTCCGACCTCGCGCTCCCGCTCTCGACCCTCTCGCTTCTGATACTACGAGCTCACTTCATTCATTCATTCATTCACGTCGCTTGCCTCGACCTGCTGGCCCGATGACGCCGAGTCCTGGCGCTCGTTATCTGAACAAGTAGCCACCGCCTCGGAAAATCGAAGAGTATCGGTAGCTTTTGAAACTCATGAACCCTTGGACCGAGCTGGTCTGTAGAAGTAGTAGGAGTACTGGATGCGGGTCGCCGCTGCTGTTGCTGCTGGGCCTCGATCGGCCTCGGAGATCTCCGAGCTCGAGCTAATTTCGAATTCTCTGTCTCTCTCTGTCTCTCTCTAATTCTCGGTCGGAGGTTTTTTTTTCTCCCTGGACTGAGGAAAATTGACAACAGCACAAGACACTACGGTAGGAGATTGTAGGTCTTTTTGATGGACTCACTGTATGCCTATACTGCAAAATGGCGAAATCGCGCTGCGATTTCTGAATCAAAACTTTATCAGCTTCGATAGACGAAAGCTGCAGCTGCTGCAGTCAGAACCGGTAGCAGACGGACCGATTGCTCCTGCCAGTCGTTCACGAATGAGGATTCTTCTGTAAGCACGCGCGCTCGGGCGATGGAGTCTATTGGCGCTACTCGGGAATGGTATCGAGTGAAGCACGATGAATGTGGGTCTGGCTGGCTGCTGCCTCTCTGTCTATCTCCACTCTCCCTCGGCAAAGAAGAAAGGTAACGAGAAATGCGAACCCCTCCGGAATCCTCACTAATTGTCTCGACGAGTTGTCGAGAATTCGTCGTCCTCCCACCGTCAAAGCGGAAACTCAAAGAGAGGCTAAAGAAATAAAGAAAAACGAATTCTCAAACCACAGAGTCTGAGAAGGCAGAAGTCAATTCTCCACTAAGAGAAGTCAGCGTTATTAGCGCTGTGGTAGTTGTAGTTTAAGAGATCGATCGAGCTAGAACGAAGAGGAGAAGGACGAGGACGAAGGAGAAGGAGAAGAGGAAAGCTCTAAGAGAGGCGAAGAGAGCTAGAGGCAAATCAGAACCGGGAGGAGGAAGCCGCGAGATGGAGAGCCGAGGCAGAGACGTAATAAAGGCGAGAGGGCACGACGGGCCCATGAGGCCACGGCGTCGAATGAGTATGTGTGACAAAAGGCAGCCATGGATCCCACCCCAGGCCCCACAGCCGTAACTTCTTCAGCTCTCGCCCTGATGGCATCTGATGGTGGCGGCTGCTCTCCTTCAGTCAGTCCTAATCGCCTCAGCTCTGCTCTGGTCTCCGCTTAATCGAACGTCGTCCCTCCATACGTGGTTCTACTCTGTTGTATCAGGGCGACAGCCATTGCTCTCCGCTGACTTCCATGCAGACAGAGAGAGAGCGAGAGAGAGACCCACCAACAACAGTGAGAATGTACTGGGTACATTCCTGCACTTTTCTGCATGGAAGGTCGAGGGCGATGCGGTGCGATGAGTTTCAGAGCTAACCGGGTCTAGTTTAACCACGCAGCACGTGGTGTGGTTTGGTTTGTGCCTCGCCCGGGCCTCGCTTGGGGATCCACGTAATAGAGTTGACTCATGGGGTTCCGTCTCGAGACAAAGGGAGCGAGCAAGGGATGAGGGAGAAATCAACGTGCTACAGAAGAAATGGATGATGAGCTCATGGCATCGTTGATGCGATGAAGATCTGCTGCTGCTGCTGCTGCTACTGCCACTTCTACTTCTGCTGCCACACTGGCTTCCTGAGCTTCAGGTCGCTAAGCCACTGTTGTCTAAGTCGAGCCCGGTCCGCATCTATTTCCAGAATGAAGTTCGACCCGTCACCATCATCCCCAGAACGTTGTTGTTTGCATACGTTAAAGTCCACAGGTGAATGAAAACTTCCTACCATAGCTCATGTGTTTGTTATCGACGAGGGAGGAATGGAGCTCCTGGACGCAAGATAGACCACACCACCCCTTCCCTACCATCTCAGTGGCCATGTGGGATATTTAATTATCTGCCTGGGTTCCACTCCCCCTTGTATATTCCAGACCAATATGTGCATACAGGTACAAACATTACCTTTCGAGTACAAATACCGCCCTCGTAGTAAACGTACACTCTTGCTTTACGTGTACCACATAAATGTATGACATACATTTATGTGGTACACTCATCTCACGATAGAAAGGAAAAGATACTCAAAATGAACGCCAAAGCAAAAGTGAAGTCGATGTGGTCTAGGTTTCAGTTTCAGTCTATGTTTCAAATAGCTCCCAATACAATCCATGAGGCTATACTACAAATTTGCAGCATACTGGGCTGCTGCATTCTTCTACGGAATGAAGGGCAAAATGTGGTCTGCAGCGCATCTTCGATTCACATTTTATTTTTTTTGGTGGTTGCAAGATTCATTTACCTACGAACCTTCGGTCTTTGAGCTGAGTCGAAAGTGTGGTGGATTCGTAAGGAACACTCATACAGAGCAACCAACGGAGAAGGATAAATTGCTAAATTTTGCTTTTACCGTCCTCCACTTTCCGTCTTTGAAGGCAAAAGAGGGATCACATCGTGCACCGAAACTCTCTATCTTCAAAGGATAGGCCAATACGAAAGATAGATAGGCCAGCGAGAGGAGGTTAGTTTAGGCTGAAGATCAGCTTTCAGCAAACAGTGCGCGCGTACATGGAGCCTGCAGGGAAGTTCACCATGTCCTCTCCGCAGGTCCAGTTCTGGCCTCATTGACTGGAGGCACACTGCTTCTGGGTCCAATGGTAGTAGAGTGTTATTTGGCATGGCTCGAACACCAATCAGCAGAGCAGGGGAGGAGACTTCCCGGTTCAAATCAGACTTGAGAAGGAGGAGGACGAGGAGGTCACCCAGATGCAATATTAGCTGCAGGATGGATGGATGATGGCCATGGAGAGAGAGAGACAGAGAGAGATAGAGAGAGCGCATGCATGACTGTCGACGGATGATGATGGCGCTGATGATCGGCAACTGGTCTGCAGTAAAGAAACAGTCCAATGGGGAAACGACGATTCCGCTCCAGTCTATGGTGGGTTCTACGACACTAATGTTAGAGAGAACGAGCCCCCTCTCACCAATTTTATATGCCAGTTCGGGCAAGAGGGTCCGAGGCCCCAAACATCTCGTCACATATATATTACAATTCCGTGTAGACGAGGGTCCACACAAGTGCTCGCTAATCATACTCTAATCTACACTGGCAGTGGAACAATGACCACCACCACCACCATTTAATGATCACGACGATGGAGCAAAAGTGTGCCTCTGCGTTCCAAGCAAAAGCTCCGTTAGAGCGAATTCTCTGATGTCCGGAAGCCTGAGGAGGCTCTGCCAGGACTTAACCACAGGGGAGGGCCTACGGTGGAAAGGGTCATCGATTTATGAGCCTTCTAAGGACAGGCCAAAGGAGTTGGAGTAATTTTAGATACAAGAACATGAAGCCTACCAGACTGACTAAAAGGAGAAAAACGAGTTGTATCAAATTTAGAGGTTAAGGATGATGTATGAAGTCGTTACGCGTATTGTCTAACCAGACTCTTCTGGGCTCACGGCCACGAAAACGAATGCTAGCTGCTGAATCATGATCATACGTTTGAGATCACGTTTTTGCACTGGCCTTTGAGACGTGAACCCCAATGGACTGTCTTATGCATGTCGTATATTCCCTTCTTCCTTCGGTTCTTGGGGGATCCGTGTAATCATCTTGTAAGCATTTAGCCAGTCTAAGCCACAAGACGGAGACAAATTACATTTATTTATTGTTGATTATTGTTTATTACAAATTCCTAGGCCATCCGAAAATTCCCCGTGAATTGCAGAATCACGAGGTCCGATTTGGAGCACTCCGATCACAGTGACCCCACAGGGTAATTCCTTCACCCCACCCGAAAAACGAAACACCGCCAGCGTTCTCGAAAACAATCCCTCGATCTGAATCTCATTCCCATCCGGGCAAAATGCATTCTAGATACGCCACAATGTGCATTTTGCTCGATTACAAGGGAATAATATAACTGACGTAGAGCCTAATCCAGGGAAAGGCTTATGTATGACGCCGCCCACACCAATGGAGTCTGCCGAAACAGCTCTGACTGAGTCATGAGTTCGAAATGACTCATAATTGAGCTAGTTCGAACAATCTTCTGCCATGAGGAACACTCTCATTCAAGATCTTCAAAGTAACCTCGTGATCATATTAGGCCTACTTGGTTCAAACCTGCACTAGAAGTTTCGGAAGGATGTGCTTAGGGTCTGATTATGGACAAATAATCCTCCGGCTGACGCTCCCACGGCAAATATAGGCCTTGTGAGGAAGAAGAACACAGTTGACTAGCACATTGACAGTCCATGCGAGATGGTCTTCGAGATGTACCTGGTCTTCGAGATGTACCTGGTTCATGGTTGATGATGCGTGGATGTGGTTGCCCTTGTCGTCATTAACCAGGCTCTAAATCGGTGGCGGTTTTCCAGCGGAGGTTTGAACGATTTGGGCGGGATCCACTCCCAGACCCAAGGAGAAAACCAGTGGGGGCTGAAAGATTCAAGGACCCAACAAAAGAGGACCAGGGCTACACTCAAAAGATTTTCTCGCACCAGGACCACATTCAGAGAAAAGAATTCGGAACGAGCAGGCACGCGAGCAGGCCCCACCATCTCAGAGGAGACGACGAGGCAGTCGGAGGGACCTTGTGTGAAGCTTCGTCAATGATCACATTCGAAATCTTTTCTATCGATGATGTTCAGGATTCCGGAAGATCAATTTGCAGAGAAATTCAAGTTTCTACCTCCTCCTCCTCCTCCTCCTCTAAAGAAGGTGGTGCCTGTAGTGCAAAGTTCACTCCTCTCTCTGTGTCTGTGTATGCCCATCGAGCTCGTTTCAGGCCGATGAGTATCTTACATCTGAGAGTGGGAAGCTTATGGACACGTTCAATCCTCCAAAACTATCGATCGTATCTACTTTTGAAAG